TGATCCAACACTCTCTATTGCATCGTTGTGCGGTAGTAAGAGTCCATCGGCATCCTCCTCCGTGAAGGTGATATCGTCCTCGGCAACTTCTCGGAGTCTCTTGCTATGATTCACCGATACCTTTGTCTTTTTTGCTGCCAAAAAGGTTACATCATTAATATTGCTCCCCCCGAAGATCATGTTGATCGTTAGTCGAGGAGCGTCTTCTCCTATCTTTGAGGGTTCCGCCTTATCCCGGTTGCTACCGTAATTACTTGTTGCCCGGTCGCTTAAGAATTCTATGAGATAACTTTTTTTCAGCAACGTCGCCACCTCCTCGCGCAGGTGTCGGCAGTCCCCAGTCTGATGGCCGTTAGTCCCATGACACTCACAATATAGATTAGGATCCCTCTGACTGGGATCAGATCTCATTGACCTCGGAAACCGTGCTTCCTTAATATTCTTCATCACCGATACCAGCTCCATCACGTTGATATTGAAATTATACTCGGAAAGTCTGGGGTAGGTGGAATCCCAAGAGCCTGATATCTCTTCGTCCTGCAATGACCTGTTATTTCGACCACAGTCAGCTCTCCTATCGGTAGTGAACCTGTCCATCGACCAAAACCTTTTCTACGTCCTTTGACCCTTTCGTAGGGTAGAAACCGACCCTTAGAAGATCGCCGATCTGTGTTGAAATCATCCTTCGACTTCTCCTTGTTCTTTTCTCGATCCCGACCCTTGGTTGATGCTCGGAATCCGAGTTGGTCTTCTTCTATTCTTATCTTTGATTCATAGCGATTGTGGACATCTGCCCATGTAGTTGCTTGGAACTCGAGCAGACTTTCTTTCAGTTTCTGGGAAGCGTCGAGCTCCTCGGGCTCAGCCCCTTAGTAAATGCCCCAGCTGCCCATTCATCTGGCACGGCCGGTAGCAGCATCCTTTTCTTCTAAAATCTGGTCACGAACTCTCGTAGTAATTCGGATTTGACCTTTCGGGTCTGTACCTTCCTGGCCCCGGCATGGGCCTTGATGAAAGAACTCGCGAGCATCTCAAATGAGTCTATTGAGTGCTCGGGTAGAAGTGAATACCATGTCAGGTCCCCTTCGTGAGGGTTTCCCCAAACTTCTTCAGCAGGTTTGACTCAATCTCGTGCGGAGCTAAGTCATTTCCTTTCACCGTCGTTGTGTAGGTGGTGATGTGCTCCTGAGGATCTGAAGTCCTATCATATTTTGGCACGTCTGGCATTTTGAACCGCTTCGGGATTAGCTCTGGTGTCGCACTTGGTTTGATCGACAACTGGGTGTATTTCTTCGAGTCCAAAACTTTCAACACTAGCGGTGCGCCCATAATTTGGTCCATTCGGGTGTTTATTTCCCTCATAAACCGCATGAGCTTGGTTTTAAATGGATTATTTCCGTTATTGTTACCAGATCCGGTGCCATTCCCCCCGGCCCCGTCGAAGACGACCTCACCCCCCGGGGTGTTGTTATCAACCCTTTGTGTTGTTTGATTTACGGGAGCACTGGGAGGAACTGGACCTCTTCCATTCGCGTTGTTGGAAGCACCCGACAATGCTTGCCTCAATTCTGTCATGACCTGGTCTTGTCGCGAGAGATAGCCCATAATAGCCTTTTGTTGTTCTCTCAGGATTTTTACCATTTCCGCAACGTGCTCGTCTTCAGCGTCGTCAGGAGGTGCCTCGCGTACGTGTCATGGATCACCATGACCGGCGTGGCTACGTCCTCCTCGTTACAGGTGTCACTAATCGAATCTTCTTGTTGAGGCGGAGTTCCTTGTGCCTCAACGTTATGTGCGATGTTGACATCATTATCTGCCATCTTTTACGATTTTTTCTAAGAAACAAAGAATCAAACGGATTAGCAATAGATGCAAGGATCAATTCAATTACTCAACTGTCTAAGCCCCACGGTAGGCGCCAAACTATTTAACCGTAAAACGGTACAGTTAAATTTGTAACGTGATTTATAGACAAGCGAATCAATTTGATTCCAAAATGATAAATAAATTAAATAAGATGTAAGACTTAGCATTGAAATCAAGATAAGACAGCAATAAGAATATCAAAAGATAGAAAATAAAGTATTATTGAGCTTAGAACAATGTGCAGCATAAGTTTGTCAGAAATTTTCTCCCTTACAATGGCTGTTGAAGTTACTATTTATAGCTACACCTAGAGAACAAAGACCTAGGATCAAGCCCCTCTTAAATGACAATTGTGGGGGCCATTGATGAATGTGTAATGGAAGGCTATGAATGCCAAAATTTTCTGTAACGGATTGTGTATTTAATACAGAGGAATAGACTTCAATGAATGTCATCGAGTGAAAAATATTTGTTTGTCCTCGTTAGCAATATTTCCTTCGGGGTCTGCCCGGTGCCAACCGAAGATACTATCTCCGGTCTTAGTTTCCACTTGCCTCATTTTCCGTTTGTCTCTGGTTCCACGTGTCGCTCCAGTATTTAATATGAACCGATTTTACCCTATACACTTATATATTATTTTATACTACCTTCGTTCCAGTTTATGTGAACCTATTTTCTTTTTGGTCCATTCCAAAAAGAATGACCCATTTCTAAATTTGGAAATAATTTTGCTTAAACTTACAATTCTACCCTTAATAAGAAGCTTTTATAACCATACAAATACTCTGGACCCCTTTTTGAATTGTTTAGGACCACAAATTTCAAAAGTCTTCATTTTTTCTTAAACTCCGTGCCCAATCAAACAGGTTCACATAAATTGAAACGGAGGAAGAACATGTTTATGCTGTAAATGCTATTTATGCACCACAACAATTTCTAAAAGACTTGTCCCGTGGCTAAGATAAGAGGGTGAGTCAATAATATTGCTGTATCTTTTTGACTCGTTATTTACTGTTTCGTGCAGATCCTGTTAAGGGTGATCCACCAGTTGAGTAGTGAATCTAGCCAGTCCTATCAGTTGAGGTGTGTCATCCACTAGTTAGCGGATGCAGCATCAGCTACTATCTTACATTCAATGTTTTTAATCTCTTTTTGAGTAGCGTCTCATATTAGCTCAGATACTTAGCTGCTCCATGACTTATAGCCTGTTTGGTCAAGCTAGAGAAATCAGATTATTTGAAATGTGTTTTTTTAAAAGTGTTTTTAGAAAAAATAATTTTGGAGAGAAGCAATTTGTGTTTGGATAATCACTCTGAAAAATACATTTGAGCAATAATTTGTGTTTGGCCAAGCTTTTCAGAAAGTGCTTTTAAATATCAAATTATGAATAAGGATATGAATTGATTTACTTAATAGTTAATATTATAAGTAAATAAATAATCTTAAAAATTTGTTATTACAGGCAGTAATTAAATCATTTCATTTTATTTAAGTAAAATATAAAAATAAAATTTAAAAGTACTTAATTCTTTCAATATAAGTTAAATATATTAAAAAGCATTCACCCCTAAAGTCATTATATATTAGAAAGCTATCCTAAAAATAATAAGAAATATTTATACATTAATATCCTAAGTATTAGGTTTAACGGTTATTTTACTATATACTATATTTTGTTAAGGGTATTTTTGGTAAGAAGAAAAGTCAAAACTGCTTCTGCTTCTACTTTTGGGAAGAAGCTACTTTTTTTTGCTTCTCAAAAACTGCTTCTGCTTCTTCCCAAAAGCACTTTTTCCGCCAAAAAGGCTTGGCCAAACACCTCAAGTTAGGAAAAAAAGTGTTTTTGAGAAAGAAAAAAAAACACTTTTGACCTCTTGAGAAGCTTGGCCAAACATGCTATTAATCTATTTTGAGTTTATGGGATATTGTGTCTAAATAGTTGTATTATCATTTTCGCATTTATCTAGCATGAGACTTCTTTATTACTATTGTGATTTTGTTCATATCATCATTGTGTACGGATAAAAATCGGGCTCATGATACACTCCGACCTCCAACAGGGTAAAACAAACTCGAAATATAATTGCGAAAGATCGAAATCGAAGCAAGGATATCCTCGAGTCAGAGTACGGGGGGGAGGGGGGCGATCATCGACCCTCGATAATAGCGGGGTCATGATTCGAGATCGACCTAAAACCTGAAGGACTTCGGAGAGCGTCGCCGGGCAATCAAGCACGGCCAACAGGAGGTCGTAATATCCGTGACCGGCCGGATAATACGGCATAGATCTCGGCATGTATCTATGTAGAATCGGCAATCAATTAAACAGAAGATTTTTTACTTTTTATAAAGTTATACTAAGAGTAGAATTCTCCTACTATATAAAGGAGCTAAAGTTTGTTTACTATTTGCTGAACTTCAACTCCTAGAGGATGCACTTCAATTCAATAATTGCTGAACTGCAGCAATTTTGGCTCAAGTTTTTGTTTTGTAATTGCTGAACTTCAACATTCTAGGAGCTGAAGTTTGTTTAGTATATGCTAAACTTCAGCATTTTAGGAGCTGAAGTTTGTTTAATATTTGCTGAACTTCAGCTCCTAGAGGATGCACTTCAGTGCTTGGGTCCTTTTGGGTAATATTCCAAGCAGTCAACTTGAACTTCACGTCGTCCATCCTCATACCAGGAAGGAAGGTATCAGTGGGTTCATCAAAACTTTGCCATAGTGGCTTCCCAGACAAATCATCAATTAAACCAAGTTTCCTGAATCCAAGAGCTTCGCTTTATGTGAAAAATAATAATAGAAATAATAATATTATCTAGAAGAAAGAATAATATCACCCGAAGAAAGAGGAGGAGAAAGAGGCATGAAGTTGTTTAAAAAGTGGATACAAGTTAAAACTTTTTTAAAAAGTAAGTATACCCCGCGCAATTTTTACAACCAAACATGAAAAAATTGAAAAATATTTTCCTTCATACCAAACACACCCTAAATCTAATAAAAACATTAATGCTACTTGAGTTGAAAGGCACTAGAAGGGAGTAGTGCCTAAAAATAACCAGTTCTGCCTCCTCTCCTAAGTTTACTTTCTTGTTAAACCTTTACAAGCTAAAAGGTAGAATTAAACATATACCATTACAAATTGAAATATTTTTCTCATAAACATACCACGATTCCAAATAGAGCCGATGAGAAAACTAAGAATCACTGAGATGATAGCAGGTAAACTCTGAAAATTGTGAGAGGATTAAAAAATTTCTACTGGCTCTGTCGCCTAAAAATAAGACAAATAAGAGCTTAAATTTAACCAGCTGGTAGTAAGAAAAGATGGTTACAAACCACTTGCCTAGGTTTCTTGTTAGAGAAAACTATATCATTGTTAGAGAAAACTATATCATTGTTCCATTGGTACGACAGAAAAGGCTAATGTCGCCTTTTACTTGAGCTTCAGTCCGACCTTTGGTGCGGAAACTAGAATGGATGTATACAACAAAACTCTATGAAGCCAAACCTCATATACTTAGCACCGCCTGTCCCTTTCCGTAACGAAACTACAATCTATATCTTTGCAGTTCACTTTCTACCAACTCACAACCTGCCTGGCACGAAGCAACAATGGAGGAGAAAATCCTCCTCTGTAAATATTTGAAATCCAGTGCAAGCTTTGTATCCCAACTTGTGGTTTCCCTGAAATGTAAAAATAAACTATTGCTTAGGTCAATGGAGTTCGTCTCTCTAGAATGACATGTTCATCATGTCTGTTACCTGTCATCAAGTTGACCATCTCCTAGTGCATCCGTCATATCTTGGAACATAGAACAAAGGTCTCTAAGTATTTCGAGTTCAATTTCCAAGTTCTCTGGTGTCTGTAAAGAGTATATGTATGTCAGGTGAAGCATATTCATGGACAATATATAGTTGACATTAGCAAGTGGAAAAAGAACTTGTAAAAACTGAGAAGAAAGTAAGACATAAGGGATACAGGGTAAAGAAAAGTGGTAACATAGAAACTTATGAGGGATTACAAGGTTCATTGTTTGCGAAAAAGGATTCCGAGATCTACGCATATGATCCAGTAGAGGAGGTGGTAAACCATAACGGAAGATGCCAAGATTCTTTGAGAACCAGGTTCCACGAATCATATGGGAGGTCCAATCAGATGTAGGGCCAGTGTCCGCAAAACCTTCATTACTTTCAACATCAATATCTGCCACACAAACAGGCCCTTGTTCAATACTCACCAACGAATTTATTGTACTTAGGTACGAAGAGATTTCACCATAGAGAAATTTACCTAGAGGAATCACATCGTAGTAGTTGTCTAGTTGTGGGAGAAAGCCATAGAACGTCAGTAAATGAGAACTACTGAAGTTCCCATAGCCAAGAAAACATTGCTCTCCTGCATTGCACGGTCTTGACAAAGGAAATTTAATAGAATTCGTCGTGAAATCTACTTTTCCATAGTGCACTATGTGCGGACAACTCTGAAGGAAAGAGAAATGAGCAAAATCCAGAAAGACATCAAAATTTATGTGAAGAAACTGATTTTCAATGTGTTTTGATACCCTTCGAAACTCTCAACACAAGAAGATATTCCAACTTATTGATATTTAAACTTTTGGGGACATGGATGGTATGTCACAAGAGCTTAAATCAGTAAGCAAAGGTACAGCTCCATATACATCAAGCAATTTCACAAGATTAGACTTCACAGTTACCACATAAGGGAGGAATAAAGATTGTCGGGAGGAATACGCTTACCGAGTGATTAAGAAACCCTGCAATCGGAACCAAGCAGGTCCTTAGTTTTCCGTCATTAAACATAATTTTCATGCTATTAGAGTACCAAAGTTCACAAGCCCATAAGAACTGCTCCCAGGTGTACAGCTCTGGAGGAAATACATCCGGGTGATCATTGCATAGGGCTGGAAATAATTCATCATACTGTGCACGCAAGTGCTGCAAGAACATTATTCAAGTCATGCTGGGAGAATGGGACATGGAATAAACAAAATACAAGTTCAGAAATATAGTGCTAAAATAGTGTCACCAAGTCAACTTGCATTGCTCTAGGTTCTCACGTTTTCTGGTAACTTTCAAATAAGTAGAGGAAATTAATATACTAATCGTAAACCAAATTGTTAGTTAGTTAGTTGTTATGTAAAGGCCAAATACATCGACAGCCCCCTAAAGTTGAGACCACTTTCCACTTTACTACTTATTCTTTAGTCCGTTCCATTTAAACATTTTAACCAGCCCTTTAATGTGCCACTTAAACACTAAAATCCCGACCCATATTAAAACAAAAGCTCGTGTGCAAGCGTTGTCCATGTGTAATTTCAGCCCAATAAATGTATGCCATGTGGATCTGTTGTCCACGTAATTTACCTGGGTATCGGGTTGACCCGTCACAAAGTTATTATACCTAATAACTAATAACTCATCCCCATTTTTTACCTCAATCAGTCCGTAAAAAAAAAAAAAAAAAAAAAAAAAAAAAAAA